CATGAGTCTCTCACGGTGTATCCGAGGGAAGGACCGAGTTAGCGGCCCTTGCGCAGACTGGGGAGCAGCGGAGGTTCAACCCCAAGAAGTTCTGCGACCACCCACACAATTTCTCTTCTCTCTGTGCCCCCTCCCTTCCCTCAAGCATTTTTCTGCAACTGGTCCAGGAACTTGAAAATCCTGACCTCATCTCCCTGGGATCATTTTGTTGTTGTTGTTGTTGTTGTTGTTGTTTTTCATGACTGGGTTTCTCTGTGTAGCCCTGGAACTCTCTCTCCATAGACCAGGCTGGCCTCGAACTCAGAGTGAGTGCTGGGATTAAAGGCATGTGCCGCCACTGCCTGGCATCCCTGGGGTCTCTTTTGAGGGTCCCAAAGCAGTGCGTTTTACTGAGGCTAGGGGTTCCCAGAACTTGTATGTGTAGGAGAGGGGACCATTGGCTCACACCCAAGAAGCCTGTGGAAGCTCTTCCAGGAACCTGGGGGTTGGACAATGCGGTGGGGACTGAGAAGTCAGAGCTGGGTCCACAGTGCAGGGGGTGGGGCTGTGGCCAGGGTGGGGGCTCCCTGTGTCTTCACACTTGTGCAGTGGCCACCTGTCACTCATTCATTTCTTCAGCAAATGTTTATTCTGCACCTGCCGCGCAGCTGGCAGGGGGCTAAGTACTTCAGTTAGGGAAGTAATGAGAAGAGAGAATAATGTTGGATTTCTTCTTTCTAAGAAGCACCCCACCCCCGGGGCAATTTGAATATTTTTGAAATCAGGGTGCATTTTTTTTTTTTTTTTTTTTTTTTGTTCGAGCCCTGAGTGTTAGAGTGATTTTCTGTAGTGTTTCGGCATCTGGGGAAACGGCATGGGCTCTTCACACCAAGGCAGTTTAGAGAGTATGAGACCCGGCCACAGCTACAGGTCTACCTTCAGGGCACTTTAACAAGGTGCCCGGCCCATTCTACATTCTTTTCTATTAATTAATTAGCTAATTAGCTCATGTGCACACCACTGTGGGGATGTGGGGTTCCAGCACAGCTTTTGGGACTTGGTTCTCTCCTTCCACGGTGTGGAACCCGGAGATCCCACTCAGATCAGCCTTGGTGGCACATTACGTTGCCTGCTTCATCACATCTCGCTGACCCCATGGGTCCTGTCCTAAATGCCTGCCCCGTGGCTTTTCCTAGGGAGACGTGAAGAAACGTCCATTTGTCCCAAAATAAGAAGTCAGGGACGGACTTAGAACGAGGATTCCGTTCAAGCCCGGCTTAGCAAGCCAGTGTGCTTACGGGGCCAGTTACACCACCAGAAGTCACTCCAGCCATGCTCCAGACCAAATAAACCAGGGGAGGTGGTACAGCTCTCTAATCCTAGTACTCAGAGGGTGGAGGCAGGAGGATCCAGGGTTCCGGGTCATCCTCGGCTACATAGTGAGTGTGAGGCCAGCCTGGGCTACATGAGAGCCTGCCTTACAACAATAAAACCCAGAGTTCCAACCCCTACTCAACTTCCCGTCTCCTCTCGAAGTGCTGGGGGTGGGGGTGGGGGTGGGGGTGGGAGGCTCATGAGCCTCTTCCTTCTTCTGTGAAGGATCCTGTCAGGCTCTCCTGCCAGACGGTCATATTTGCTCTGATTCAAGATCTCGGTGACCACATCTAATAAACCAGAGGAAACAACCACACGACAATGGTCTCATGGAGCCCAGGCTACATGAGCTCAGGGGATAATGGTCAGGTCCCTTAGCTGGGCAGAAGCAATTCCAAAATCAGGAATCCAAACCACCGCTATATCTTGGGCTACATGAGAAACAGGTCTCCTGTAGCCCAGGGTGGCTTTGAATTTGCTCTGTTGCCAAGGGTGGCTTTAGCCTTTTGTCTCTGGTCCTAAATGCTAGGCTTACACTGTGTACCACCATTCTGGCTTTAAGAGGTTTTTGTTTGTTGGTTTGTTTGTTTTTGGAGACAGTGTGTCATGTAACTCAGGCTACCCTCAAACTCAACTATGCAGCTGAGGGCGAGCTTGAACAGATAGATCCTCCTGCCTCTACCTCCGGAGTGCTGTGATTGCAAGCTCGTGGTGTCCCCAGTTATGGAGAGTTGGAGATCTCACCAAGAGCTTTCTGCATGCTAGGCAAGCTCTCTACCCACTGAGACACATCCTAGCCCCCTTCTCTAACCATTTCTGCATTGAAATTAGTACCGTCCTCATTTAAAAGACGAGGAAACTGGGGCCCAGGGAGACGAATTTTCGTCTGGCCCTCAAAGAACATGGCACCTCATAAGCTGCCTTGCGAACGTCAATGGTAGCCTAGTAACCACAGTCGAGTTGTCGGGGGTGCGGGGCCACAAAGAGGAGGGTGGAGGATGGAGTCTGCTTGGATATGGCCACACAGTGGCTTTGGAGCCTGGGGACCTCTCCCTCTCTCAGAAGAGCCCCCTTTTTCTTGGTGAGCCTGGGGTGATTAATCACAGAAACACATTCCATTCACTCCTATCAACCTGGCAGCTAGCCATTCTTCCAGGCCAGGGGAGGGGTTGGGGGAGAAGAGAGAAGTTCAGGGAAGGGCCAGTGCAGCAGCCTGGCCCTCCCCAACCCCTCCCACAGCAGACGCGTGGAGCTTTCTCATTCCGGTTTGTCTGTTTCGGGCTGGGATGCTTGGGCTAGTGAGGAAGGCTGGCACACATCAGGGAGGAAACGAGGAAAGAAGTTACTAGAAGTCCCCCTGTCTCCTTCCTCATTACCATCTGAGGCAGGCTGAAAGCCAATTTGGGATGTAAGGAGCCTGGGGCATCACCCTTTCCTCCTCCAAACCTGCAACCCTAGAGGCAAACCTCTCAGCCTGTTTTTTAGGCGGGATGGTGGAATGGAGTCTCCCGTCAGGAGGCCCTGGGCAGGAGCCCTCTGTTCAGCCTGCGTCCTCTCTCTCCCCGACTCCCTCCCCCTTATTCTCCACCTTTACCCAGGCCCAACTCTGCCAAGTGCTAGGAAATAAAGACCTCACCTGCCAAGAGGAGCCGGGAGGGGCGCCGAGGGCCCTGCCAGCAGCCTGGAGCTGTCAGGCTGGCGGTAATTAATTAATCAATCCATCCGGGAGGCTCTCAGAGGCGGCAACCACTTCTCCTGAGCACGGCGCGGTGGGCAGGGACAGCAGCTACTCCAAGGAGGTTGAGGTCCCGGAGACCCTGCCAACCTTGGCCACATGGCTGTTGGTCCTGTGACCTGAGGGGGGCCTGGAGGGGCGGAAAGGAGGGGCTGACTCACCCAAGCCTGGTGTGTCTATCCTGTTCATTGACTCCACAAATACCGTGCACCACCTGCTGTGTGTCTTAGGCTTGCTGGAAACAGCCTGAGACAGGGTTCAGGGCATACACATGCATGAGTGTGCAAGCACACTAACATGCACACTCACCCTTCTACCGAATTCCTGGGGAGGGGGACAAGGATGTGGTCTCAGTGAAACACTAGTCTTGGCTAAATCCACAGGGCCTGGAGCACACACAAAGTGCTAAATTGTCTTGCCCTTTGAGAGGACAGTCCTATCTGCCTCCTCCTCAATGGTCATTGGCTACGAGCTTGTGTGTGTGAGCCCTTAGTAGCAGACTCCACAGCAGCTGAGGCCTGACTGACACCTGTGTGTTTACCTGGGCCTTGGGAAGACATCTGTCAGTTTTAGTCACTAGTTCTGCAAGCACCATGACCCCTGGACCAGCAACCATCACCACAGCATCATCTGGGAAATAGCCCATTGCCATCCTCATCCCATATGTCCTGAGTCCCATCCCCACCACAGGGGCGGTCACAGGTTTTAGCAAGCCTTCCTGGTGGTTCTGCTCTCTGCTCCCCTGGGACACGGCACTTCTCGGAATGAGGGGGACAAAGAAGTCCTGGTCCCTGTGTTTATGGGACTGGGACTCTAGTGCAACTGACCGGTAATATGCATGGGGTCTGTACTCTTCCCATCCATGCTTAAAGGAACGGCAGCTAATATGGGTGCTCAGAAGGTGCCAAGCGGTGTGAGGAACACCTGGCCCTTTTGTATAGCTCTCTGAATGCCTACATTGGTATGAGACCCATGTGCTGCCCTCTGGTCCCTGTTTCAGGCTTTAGGACCATGGGAACATGAGTAACAACTTGCTTGGGACCAGTTTGCTGGGTTTTGTTTTGTTTGTGTGTGTGTATGTGGTGTGTGTGTATAAGTGTATATGTGTGTGTGTGTGTGTGTGTGTGTGTGGTGTATGTGTGTGGTGTGTGTGTGTGTGTTGGCTTTCATGTATTTGAGATATTATTTCTTTTCCACTAGCTACATACCTACAGTCCCAGGAAACACAGGCTACATTCATATAGAGACCAGATCTCCACCCTGCACCTCTGTGTCCTGTTTCTGAAGAAGTCAGCCTTGTGGGAAATAAGAGTATTTCTTTTTAATTAAAAAAATCATTTACTATTGTTTAAGACTTTTTTTTTCGACACAGGGCCTCCCTGTGTAGCCCTTGGAACTTGCCATGTAGCCAGCTGACTTTGAACTTACAGAGATTTCACCTGCTTCTGCCTTCTGAGTCCTGGAATCAAAGGTGTTCACCACCACCTCTGGCCTAAGAGATTTATTTCTATTACTTTTAATTATGCGCAATGTGGGGGTGGGGTGCTATAAGTGCAGGCACCCTCAGAGTCCAGAAGAGGATATTAATTACTCTCTTGTACTCTGGAGCTGTAGTTACGGGGATGGGGGCTTCTCGACATGGATGCTAGGAACCAAACTCAGGTCCTCTGAAGGAGCAGCAGCTGCTCTCAACCACGGAGCCACGTCTCTAGTCCCTAATTAGTTGTTTGTTTTTATTATACTTCTATTTATTTTGTGCGCAGGTGTGGGGGGCACACATGTACCATATTGTGCACCTGGAGATCAGAGGACAGTCTGTAGGCGTCAGACCCCATCCAAGTCCTCAAGGGCTCTCTCCAGATGAGCCATCTCTGCAGCCTAGGAGTATTCTTGAATGTCATTCTCTCCCTAGGATGGCTGGTGACAACGGATGTGGAAAGGACTGAGAATCAAATGTACACACCCACCAAACTCAGCCGGCACGGATCTCTCATTTTCCCCCCGAGCTGGATCTTCTCAACGCCCGTGACCACTCCAGCACCTCCAGGTGAGGGCAAGTGTGATGAAGGGGACCGCAGGGAAGGAAGAGAAACCTAAACTGGTTATGGTTAGAATAGCCATGCTTGCAGACTGTGCACAAGGTCCCCGCCTGTGGAGCTATTTGTCAAAGACCCTCTGAGGAACTACACAAGTGAGTGACTTTGAAACAGAAGCTGCGTCAGATACACTGTGAAGCCATTGGGTCTGCCTCTGAGTGCACAAAGGACAAAGAGCCTTGGGGACACTGCCCGTCCTCAGCCCTGGTCCTGTCTCCAGTCTTCTCTCTTGCTGGTTACATAACCACTGCCTCCTTAAAACAAGTCCTCTGGGCCAGGGAGATGGCACCTGCCAAGCAATCCTGGTGACTCAACTTTGATTCCCCAAACATACAGAAAGGTGGAAGGAGACAGCACACACACCCATACATACATACATACATACATACATACATACATATATACATGCACACACATACATACACACATACATACATACATATATATACACACACACATACATACACACATACATACATACATACATTCATACATACATACAAATACATACATACATATATACACACATACATATATACATACATACACACATACACATATACATACATACATACACACAAATACACACATACATACATATATACATACACATACATACATACATACATACTGTGGATATTGCTCTGTATACATAAAATGCTGATTGGCCAGTAGCCAGGCAGGAAGTACAGGCGGGACAAGCAGAGAAGAGAATTCTGGGAAGAGAAAGGCTGAGTCAGGAGATGCTGCCAGCCACCACCATGAGTACCAACATGTAAGATACTGGTAAGCCACGAGCCATGTGGCAAGGTATAGATTTATAGAAATGGGTTAGTTTAAGGTATAAGAACTAGATAGCAAGAAGCCTGAGCCATTAGGCCAAACAGTTTAAGTAATATAAGTCTCTGTGTGTTTGATTGGGTCCGAGCAGCTGCGGGACTGGCAGGTGAGAAAAATTTGTCCTGACCGTGGGCCAGGCAGGACCAGGAAAACTCCAGCTACCCATACATATACACATACACATACATGCATACATATGCACACGCATGTACGTGCACATACACAGAGATGAAAATAGACAGAGACAGAATAATAAATAAAATGTGAAAACCAAGTGTCCTGTTTTTACCTGGCTAGGTGGTAATTTGTTCACATCCCTTTATTTGGGGGTAGGGTCTCATGTAGCCCAGGCTGGACTCAAACTCATTATGTAGCAGAAGATGACCTCAAATTTTTGGTCCCCCTGCCTCCACCTCCCACTCCGCGTTTACAGAGTGTTGGGGATCTGACCCAAGGCCTTGTGCACGCCAGGAATACCCTCTATCAGCACAGCCACGCCCCCTTTTCAAATCCTTTTAGATGGCCTCAGGACTGAGTGACAGCCCCACCAGAGCAGGACAAACAACTCCTCACCGACTCATCCAATGGCCCTGAGGCTAAGGTGTCACAGCACTGCCATCCTTCATTCTAGGGTTAATTTGGCAATGCATTCTGGGTGTTTGGTCAGAACCAGGCCCTGAGGTAGGCCTGGGGGAGCCACACAGCAGGGTCCATGCTTTCTCTGTTCAGAGCCGCTGCCGGTGGCCGCCTTCACCTCATCATCGCCACCTGGTCTTGTTCCTACAAAGTGCTCTTTTACCCTCAATCTCAGGGCTGTCCCCACACCCTCCACTCAATTTCATCTCATTACGCTTGCTGCTCTTGACCATCCTGCCAAAATCACTTTGGATCTTGCTTCTTCATGCCCTATCCTCCCTCTCCCTCCTGGCTCCGCGTCACCAGTGAACTCGACAAGCCTGTTACGTCTTCATTGCTGTCCCTGGTAACAGCCTTCCTTGTCCAGGCTGAGGACAGAGCCCCGAGGCTCTGCAAGTTTCCCTGCGGATAGACACGGCTTCCTTAATCAGCACCCTTCGGGGACAGTGGTTCAATTCACCTCATTACATGGTCACCCGGCCATGATGGGCCATTGCTTCTCAAGGACACTGTAAGAGGCCTTGTCACCATCCTCAGGACCTGACACACCACATGTGACACTGTTTCCTTCCGTCAGTCTGGTAACCTTGTCAAGGAGAGAGGGTGACTTTTGTTCTCCAGCTACCAATGGTTGGCTTTCTCTCTCTCTCTCTCTCTCTCTCTCTCTCTCTCTCTCTCTCTCTCTCTCTCTCTCTCTCTCTCTCT